GAGTTAAGGTCTGTGTACAATCCGTACATCCTACCCTTCCCAGACTCTTCTTGTTGGATTACATTGGGTTTGTTGTTGTTGTATTGTATGGTTCTTGTGTAAAAAAAGGAAAGTACTTCAAATTGTCCTCTCTTGATGGCACTACCCTCTGGCTTGTCCCAAAGCATGGTATCTTTAGACAAATTTTCCTTCACAAGGATTTAATTAAAAGGTATTTTCTAATCTATTCAGGTTGCTGATGAACTTGTAGCTGAATTTGCTGATCCTAACCATGGCCTTTCAACTCCAGATCAGGTTTGGTAGTTTCTACCTTGATTGTATTTTCTACTACCTCCCAAAAATAGAGCCTTTACTAAGGTATAATTTTTTAATTTCAGTAAGGTGCAGTTACTATAAATCACTAATCAATAATCATACATGCATTTTGTAAGTTTATTTGTTGGTTTAACTGAATCCATTGTATGTAATCTGTTTGTGTTTTATTTTGTCGGAATTTACTTGAAAAAGTACCGTTGATCAAGAACGGCTGTTTTTGGAACCATCAAACCCTCGAAACAAGACTTTTGTTTTGAGTGAGGTGGTATAACTCTCAGTTTCTTCTATGCTTTGATAATGAATATTGACAGCAGTAATTTGACTTTGATAGCAACATTATGATGAGAAGAATATTAGACGCCGTGTGTATGATGCTTTAAATGTTCTTATGGCAATGGATATTATTTCGAAAGATAAAAAAGAAATACAGTGGAGGGGTCTGCCACAGACAAGCATAAACAATATTGAAGAGCTAAAGGTTTGCTTTTTTATTTTCACTATATGCCACTTCACCTTTCTCCCATCAAACCCTCTGTCTCATTCATTATGCATTTATTTGATATTTATATACAAAAAAAAAATCATCCTCAATAATGCAATTCATTTAAATAATTACAGAAGGAGCGGCTTGGGTTGAGAAACAGGATTCAGAAAAAAGCTTCCTATTTAGAAGAACTGGAGGAACAGGTTGAAATTCCCCTTTTCTTAATGCATGGAACATTTTTGGAATATCACGCATATATCAATCTGTTTTCTTTTAATACTTGAGGACTAACTTGTAGCTCCCATCTAAAAGTATGCAGGGCTTCAGAACCTCATGAAACGCAATGAACAGTTATACAGCTCTGGGAATACTCCAACTGGTGGCGTGGTTTTACCCTTCATATTGGTTCAGGTAAAATTGTTTTATAATTTCTTCTTGTATACCGAATTAGATCACGAGCTTAACGGATCACTCGCGTTGTGGCTTTAAAACCATTCATAGTGTTCTAATTGACTCAGAACACACCCATGATTTTCTTTGCTTTTTGGAAACTCCAGACTCGCCCCAATGCAATGGTTGAAGTGGAAATATCAGAAGATATGCAATTGGTGCACTTTGATTTCAACAGGTAAAGAAAAGAGAGCTAGCTGAAACATCATCCATCTGTAAGTGTGTGATTTTGAGTGATTGATGCATTCTTCTCATAAATGGTTTTGCAGCACTCCGTTTGAGCTACACGATGACAATCATGTTCTCAGAGCAATGAAATTATGTGAGAGACCAAACAGGCCCCATGCTGCGGGCCAGCCCTCTGCATCGTCCTCATCACCGCCCACTACTCTCCCCGGAATATTAAAAGCCCGAGCAGTTATGCACGAACACCCTCCTTCAACTACTACTACTACTTAAATCTCTTCCAAATCCAATGGCCATTCTGAGGATCCTTTTATATGCATATGCTTAATCCCATAGAGTAACATTTCCTCTTAGTAACACTAGCAGATGATGGGTTTTTGCTTTTCAGTTAGGTAAGAGGAACCCGAACCCCAACGCATATGTATATCTCTCCTAGCAGGAACGTCAAACGTGATCCACATTTCGACACAGGATGGGTCTAGACAAGAGACAGGAGAGACAGAGAGGGGGGGGGGGAGAGAGATATATATTAAACATTATTAACATTGTAATTTGGACTAAAACAGTTGTTTAAAATGCATCCGTGTGGTTGTAATTTATAAAGAAGATATTCATATTAGAGAGAATGAAAAATGATGGGAAACATTTAATTATTTTACGAAAAAAAGAGTGAAAAGTTTATTTGGGAAGGAAGAGAGTAATAAATAATGAAGCTTGCTTTTCGAATAAAAAATTGAGATGTGATAAGGATTGGCGGAAAAACTCCATTCTCATTTTTTTAAACTAATGGAATACAATATGCCCTCTTTTTTTATCTCTAAAAGGAATAAGGTGAGAAATTGATTAGAAAAAAAAGTCATGAACTTTTTTATAGACGGAAGAACAAAGAAGCACTTTAGATTAAGTCTTATAACAGAGCACTAGTGCAACTTCAAATTATAGGAATCATTATTCAGGCAAATACCATAGATTAATTGGGTTCTTTGGAAAAAATAAAAGATCCTCACATCGGTTCAAAAAACTGTGAGAAAGTTCACATTTTATATGTGAAATTTAGGATCATTAAAGCACAACTTCATTATTCACCGTTTCCAAAATTAAGTTAAATAGAAATTTATCGAAATCAAAATCCACTTGAATGGATATCTCTATGTAAATTGACATCTATTCGAAACTCAAGTAAACCTACTTGAAGTGAGTATAAAACAAATTCAAACCAAAACCGAATGGATTTACCCAATTGTATGGTCTAATCTCAATGCTACGTGCTAGAGGTCTTGACCAAGATACTGGGTGAGTATGGGTGGGGGGCTTTGGTTTATGCTCTGTTTTTTTGTACTAACTTTTTACTTTCAAAATTTTCCAACTAAATTTTTTAATTCTTTCAAATTTCTTGCAACACTTGTCAATTTTTTTCAACTCTTTTTCGACTAAAAATAAGATATATTAATTGATGACAATGATTTTGGTGGAAAAACTTTATTCTCATTTTTTACCGATGAAATATGTACCCCTTTTTCAACTCTAATGTTTGGTTAAAGGAATTTGGAAGGAAAAGAAAAGAAAATGATTATCTCTCAATTTCCTCACCAAAATGGAAGGAATTTAGTTTTTCCTTCTCTTACACTATGTTTGATTTAAGGAATTTGGAAGAAAAAGAAAAGAAAATAATTTTTTCTCATTTTCCTCACCAAAATGGCAAAATGAGAGGAATTTTGTTCCTCGTAGTACCTTTTCCTTCCACTTTTTCTTTCTTTTCCACTCTAACCAAACAAGAAAACTTATTTTCCACTTAATTTTCTTTTCTTTTCCCTATGAAATTCCTTGAACCAAACATGGTGTAAATGAGTGAATCCAAATCACCATGCCTTGATTGTTTCTCTACTCTTGTACCCCTTACCACAACCACAAAATTTCACTTCATATTCTCATAATCAGCAACTAAAGTAGAGTAAGAAACATCGAAAAACAGGCTTGAAAACCAAAAAGATAAAACTATATTTGCAGATTAAGCCACAAGTCAAGAAGAGTCTTATTCCGACAAATGAGGAGAGGAGAGCAGCTACAAGATCTTGATGTCAGGGGTGATGCAATCGCCTTTGCTTTTAAACGCGTCTAAAACAATTAATCACCAGTGTCTTGGCTGGTGACGAAACCGGTCTGTTGCCACTTCAAGAACCCGTCTTCAAGGGCCTCGCGCATCCACGGGTGCCGACAATGGCCCACTGCCTCTGCAATTGTCAACCAGCTTCTCTGTCGGTGCTTCTGCTCTGGCCAAGAATCGAGCTCCTCGGTCACCAGCAAAGCAAACATGGAAGCCTTGCACAGACCTTCCGGGCTGAATTCGTCCTGAAGCGTCTTGCTCTTGAAGTGATAGTACCCCAGGAAATGCTGAGCATTCAAAAACACAAGCAGAGAAGATGAATCAACTCTTCCTTCTATAATTGTGTGAAATGTTTATATGCTATATGACCCAATCTCTATAAGTCCTTTTCCTTTTCCCATCAAGGTGATTTCTCACACACCCACACACACACACACAAGAAGTTGTAAAATCAAGAAAATGTCTTCCTCCCAAAAAAGGAAACATTTTTGCAGAATAGTTTTGTACTGATTTTCCTTCAAACCCAGGTATAAAGTCCAATTGTATGTATCATTACACTAGAGAACCTAACAGAATAGTGAGGTGGGGGCCAGGAGAGAGAGAGAGAGGGGGAAGCAACTGCTCCTATTTGTCCATAAGCCATCTATCTCTATCTGTCCAGTCAGTGAGTGAGACAGGAAATAACTGTTCCTACTTGTCCAATTGTCTCACTACACCCCGCATGACCCAACCCCATGTGGAATAATAATGCACAAATCAGTGGCTTTCCATTTTTGAACCACAAAAGATGGTGAGGTGCCAGATTTTACACACACACAAAGATGCAAGAAATGGTTGAAGCTAACCTGTATCTCTCCGCGAACTCCAGCCTCTTCAATGGCTTCGCGCATCGCTGCCTCCTCAACTGTTTCATCATTTTCCCACCCGCCCTATTATACATATATATACGTATTCAAAACATATATGGAAGACACGTCAAAGCATTAGTGCTGGTATAGAAACAGCAAGCACACAAGGATGTGAAACTGCATTGGCTTCTAATCATTTAGTGGCGTTACACATAAATGTAACAGCTACACTTGCCTTTTTCACTTCACTGCAGACTAAATGAAGATTTAAATTTTGTATGATATAATTTTGATGGAAGCCTATAAAAGGGCTTCAATTTATTGACCGAAATATATTAACAAACTTCAGAACATCTTCAAAAGAATGTCTTCAGAAAGGTAAAGAGTGAAAAACTCAAAGCTGTATTACTCCACACGAAAAGTATATTCGTTGGATGGCATTGAGCACCGGCCGTTCATACATACCTTAGGAAACAGGAGACCAGGTCCACTAGTTGAGTTTATCATAAGCACTTCAACAACTTTCTCTGAGGTGTCACCGCCATTTTTTTCTGTGTTTCTAAATCTATAGGGAATGCACCTGGAAAGAAAGAAATGGGTCATCAACAAACCATATATTTTACAACTAAAATTGTCATACCTGGCCTTATAATGCATTTACAACGCACAATTACTCATTGCTGCCAATGATCTAATTCATACGGGACTCGACAATGTTATAGTATACCAAAAGAGCTTTAACTTAAAAGAAAATACCCAGAATAAGAGCAAAACATATTCCTTATCCCCACAATAGGAGTAACATGTTTTAATCCCAAAATAGGACGACTGCACTTTGATAATGTGACATTGCATATTAACATTTCATGGTCTTTTTTGGTATTATATCTTGGTATTAATGCATTATAGGTCCTATTTTGGGATAAAACATGTGTATAGACTTCAATTTGTGTCTTTCTCCCTTGATGTAATCCTCTTAATTTAATCCTCCAAATCCTCTGATGTGGATATGGGAAGCAAATTCCCATATCAGGAATCCTAACTAGTTAACTCGGCCCTTGACTTCTAGCAGGTCAACCCTCAACCCAAACCCATTTTGGAAGAAAGGAATGGCAAAGATGGAATCTTTTCAACCTTATGGCTATAGGCAACGCCTTTACCACCCTTCAGATGAAGCAAGCTAAGCAAACCCCATTCACAAAGAATACTATTTATATATAATTACCCAATTCCAAGCAAAAAATGGTAATGATAAAAATCCCAAACTAGCAATGGCCCTTTAATAGAGAGATGAATTGGGAGAAGGGAAAAAGAAGAGTACCCGGCTATGAGGCGATGCCCTTTCTCGTAGCGCTGCTGGTGCCGACCTGTCCGAGCCACCAATTCAGACATTTCTTTTCTATATCCAAACAGCAAAAAAAAGAAGCAATCTTTCCCAAAAAAAACAAAGAAAACGTATGTGTATATCACAATCTGAGGCGGAGATTCACAACCATGGCGCTGTAAATCTTCTGAAAACACATATTCCTATTATTTTCCCCTAACTTTTCCCCGCCTGGGTGAGGAAGACAGCCTGAGATCGCCCCATTGTGTTTTGCAGAGAGAGGGGAGAATGGATGCTCAAGGGAAAGAGAGAGAAGAGCGCATGGATCGGAGCAACATGGGGTGGGGGTGGGGGTGGGGGTGGTGTCAGTCACGCACTCAACTCTCTTCTGCTTCTCTCTTGCCTCGAAACTACGCTATATATTCCCCACTA